TACTGAAACAGATTATGACGTTTTTAAAGCTGTAGTTTATGAACCTCTCATTCGTCTTGTTTACCATCTTCCACCTTCCTGAGAGTCCGGTTTTGACAAGTATTATGTTTTACTCTTCACTTTTTCTGCCCCCTGTTTGATTTGTGTTTGCCTCCTTGTTGGATTTGCACATCGGTGATGGCTTATTAGAGATGCCACATGCCATGATGTCAGACAGCACATAATCCCATGTAAAACTATGACTTGTTTTTACAGTTCAGTTTCTGCATGTAATAAACAATAATGTTTTTAATTAGCAAGCTTTAGATGTGCTGGTAGTGGATTTTAAGTCTCTTAAACAGAGCAAGACGAGCCGTTTCTTTCTGCTTCTTTTGAATCTGCACCTAAAAATGATTTAGACATGCAGTATATATCAAACATTATATGAGAAAGCTTCCCATCTGTGTCTCCACCTTTCAGTCACCTTCCTCACTCTGGGCCATTATGACTGAATTCATAGACACTCTGACCCTGACAGTGTCTGTGTAATTATCCTAATGAGGTCTGGTGTACCTTTCATGCAGTCAGAGTGTCTCTGTCCCTCACTGTCTGCATCTGTGTGTGAAAGCTTTGTGGTGTTAACTCACTTTTCACTCTGCTTGCGAGCATATCCCTCTTTATACACGGCTCCTCCTTTCTGTCCACAGAGAGCCCTCTCTGTTATGTTAGGTGAAAGAAATAAATTAGCCATCATGCAGACACAGACAGAGGCGAGAAAAAACAGAGACAGGGCCTTGGTGTAATTTGGTCCTGGCTTTTCATAACTCACAGCCTTGGTGGAAGTCTCATTGTTCTATCAAAGAGTATCAGAGGATATAAAGTTAAGTTCATAATCAGATATCAGACTCCAGAGAGTCTGGCTGTCTGGCTTGAACAGACCCCAATTTATGATGAAAGATCAGAATACAGCACTGAGCACTGCTGTAGGCAGAGGAAATGAGAGATCAATTTGAAGATGCACAGGTTAAAGACTAGGATAATCAAACTGTTTCCTTATAGACTTTAGGATTACACAGGTTCAAGTGAAGAGGAGATGCTCTTGTGAGATTAAAGTGGTATAATTCTATGAATGGACTTCCTATTATAGAGTGTCTGTCAGCATACTGGATCTTCAGTGTGGCTACAAAAACTAAAATGCATGATCATGTGTCAACCTGAAGCAAACTTCAAAGCAGACATGGGGAGTGAATAAAAAGTTTGACAAACTAGAGAAAAAAGATTGAACTTTAGTAACTCCACTTGTTTTGGAATTTAGCATTCACTTTCTATTACACTCTTTATTTGAACCATCTCTTCCTTTTGTTGTATTGATCATGTGAAAACTTAAGGTTCAGTGTGTAAATAAGGTGAATCTGCAGGTTATAATGTTCTCTGTTGCCGCTTTCATTGTTAGTTAGGCCTTTAAAGGATAAGGCTGGTCATTTTTTATTTTAAAGGTCACAAATTATGCTCATTTTCAGGTTTATATGGTTATTTAAAGGTCATACTACACCCTTACACCCTTGCACGTTTATAAAGTTCATTCGATTTCTCAGAGTGCCAGTAGCGTCAGACCATCTTTTCCCCTCTGTGTGTACATGCTGTGTTGTTGGTCAGCTCCCACAGCACTGAACAGGAGCCACCTACCAACTCCAAGCCATGGTTCTGGATTCCGGATAGCTCTGGTTTTCAGCGTTAACCAGTGTTAGAGCCATTTCTGCCGTAAATTTTATTATAATAAATACTTCTAAACCAAAAACTAAACAACCACACATGTTAGAACGAGAGCCTGATACTGTCACACCACTCTTGTCATGCCTGAGCAGTATTGTCTAATAGAGAAACACCAATAACATGTTTAGTGCTGTTACAACAGTGCTAGATAAATGAGCAAAGTTACCACCCAAACCACTACTCACAGGAAATTTGGCTAAAAACCTTAACACAAATTTTCTGGTACATTCTGACTGTTCACCAAAATTTTAACCCCAAACACCGGTTTCTGCCGTTTGGCTCATAATACAGTCTCCTGTTGTATTGTGGCTACGTTAAACAGGATAACTTCATACACAAGCAGTAAAATAATTTTAAAATGGCAACTCATGAACAGCTGGAATAGAGCTTCAGTCCAAATCCCTTGTTGTACTGACCCTCAGTGAGAAAGGCCTCCCATGTGAAATGATTGGCACATAACATACAATGTTTTCAAGATTCAAGATTTTTATTTGCCATTTATGCATAAACAGACAGTCTAGGCATATGGGAATTCTTGTGCAGGGCTCTCCTGGAGTTGAATAAGGTGTTTAAAGCTGAAACATAGAAAAATTTTTACCCATGTGTCATGGGTTAAAATCAGGACCCAGGAGGTATAGGCTTTCACCAAGCATATCATCTCTGTGGATATCAACATCAAGTTAACTCGTGAGGATGCCATAGATGACTGTCTGGCCTTTCTGGATTGTGCAGTCCACTTGGGAGGGGACAGAAGCCTGAAGGTAGAAGTCTACACACACGGACCAATACCTGCTTTTTGACTCACACCATCCATTTCAACACAAACTGGGAGTCATCAGAACTTGAAATCACAGGGCAGAGGAAGTGCCCACAACTGCAGAAGGGGCCAAGAAGGTAAAATTACACATCCAGAACTCCCTTAGGGCTTACCCTAAGTGGGCCTTCACCAAAGCAAGGAAGAGGCCCAACACCAACAGGGAGAAACCAGAAACAAGAGGGGATAACACTGTCATCCCTTATGTGGCAGGCTTATCTTTTGCAACCACAATATCCCAGTCAACTTTAAGCCAGGGAACACCCTGCGGCAAAGACTGGTCCACCCAAAGGACAAAACACCCAGACATAAACAGTGATGTGGTGTATGCAATTAAGTGTAGTCAGGAGTGTAACGACTTGTACATTGGTGAAACTAAGCAGCCGCTGCACAAACGCATGGCCCAACACAGGAGGGCCAACTCCAATGGACCAGAATCAGCAGTCCACCTCCACCTGAAGGACAAAGGACATTCTTTTGAGGACAATGAAGTCCAGATCCTCTCCAGAGAACATCGCTGGTTTGAGAGAGGAGTTAAGGAAGCTATTTTTGTAAAAATAGAACACCCCTCACTAAATAGGGGTGGTGGACTAAGACATAACTTGTCATCCCTCTACAATCCTGTTTTGAGATCTCTGTCTAAACATGCCCACCAGGACAATAGGCGTCTGTCCACAGGTGAGGGTTCAAAGACAGGTAACGATGCTCACTGATACCGGGCTATAACAACTCAGTTGTTTGGGGACTTTGTTGACCAGCAAAGGACTGAAACACCACCGAGGGGGATAAATATCCCTGGCTCAACGCCACTTGGACCAAACTGATGAAACTTCTTGGATGAGAGGGGAAATGTCTTCGATCTAAAACCAAGTCCAGTTGATTTATTTTTTCCCTATATTTTTTCAGCTTACTATGACCTAGATGACTGAGAATCTGCATGGAAAAGCGTTTAAAGCCAAAAAACGAACACCTAGTCTAAATATAGGATCACCCAATAATACAAAAGAATACAAAAAAAACAAGAATACAAAATAGTTGATAAAATTGTGGATACAAGAATAAGATAACGGGTAAAATGGGGAGTTTCAAATATTGCACATAGTGGAATTGTATATGGTATTTTACTTAGTAGGGTAACGAGGGGTTATTGCACAGGTTTTTCACATTCTGTATTTGCCATCAGTCTTACTGCAGCAGGGAAAAAGCTCTTATAAAGTCTTGTTCTGTGTGCGATGATGCTGTCCGCTCTGCTGTGCCTGAGATTGTGGGTGCAGTTTTTGTGTCTGAGCAGAGTGTGAGCTAGGTGGTGTGGGTCTCTGATTATGTTCTTTGCTCTTTTGTGACAGCACTGTGTGTTTTAGGGATATCTTCAGAACATTTCCACAATAACGATATGATATCCACTGTGTCTTCCCTGGCTCTGAGGATGGAAGTAGGTAGAGACTTTTGTGCTCATTTGTGAAACCAACAACCGAGCAGAATCTGCCCTTTCCTCTGAGCTGTGCCATGTTGCTGTTCGTCTGCTGTTCTAGTGAGAAAATCACAGTTGCAGAGAGGTTGCACTAAAATGGATATGAGGAAGGAGGATCTATCAGATGAACTGCTGTATCGTTTCATATGACGTCATAAAGAGACAAATCCGAGCGGTGTGTTTTAGCAGGGGTTTTTACAAATGAGGAGAAAGCAAAACAGGCAGGGACTGGTTTTTTCCCATGTTTTGTGTGTCTCTACACAAACTGGAGACCCGTTTGAATGTCAGACAATGCTCTAAAAGTGAATTTTGCATAATATCTCCTTTAACAGTATATTAAACGCTTCACGTACAGAGACTGACACCAGCAGTGAACTGCCTTTAGTCACTGTTAATGTCTGCCAGTCCTGGATCAGCTTATTTGACTGTGCCATGGACCTCCATTGTTGTTCAACATTGATTATAAATACATCAGAGAAACACCGCTGCACTGGATGACACGTTTCCTTATTATGAAACACAAGAGCATAATATTTGTTAAGAATATCCAGAGATATTATGCATGGGCCTTTGACTCTTGCTTACTTCAGACACTGTAAAAAGTTATTACTGTTCAGAGCCTTTGGGGACACATTAAAGAAAGTATTAGGGTCTGGAGTTTTGTAATGAGGAAATGTCATCCAGTGGAGCAGCGTGCTTCACTAATGTGTTTTTAATTATTTATGAAGAACGCCTGAGATTAACTTATCTAATTGAGAGCCGTTGCACTTTTTGTCACACAACAGAAGGGAATTTACAGTTTCAGCACATAGAGCTTGGCCAAAATCAACTACACTATGGTGAAGCAGAAGAGCTTCTGGCTTTGTGATTTTTGTACATCCTCTTCCGCAACTTTGTCATGCACTCCACTCTTGACTTTTTAATGCATCTCCTCCCTTTCCTTCTGTGTCTCTCTCCACTCAGTGCTGGGAGGTGTGGAGTCACGTGGCGTGCTGAGGAAGATCAGTGACATGCTCGAGGTGATTCTGAAGAGGATGGACAGCCTGTCCAAACTTGACAACACCTCCACCACTGACGCACGGCGCCTGGATGAGCTCAGCTCTGCCATCAACAGGTACACTGAGTGTTTCCTTCACTCAACAGCTTTGTGTGTGTGTATGTGTGTGTGTGTGTGTCACTGTTTTATTCCCTTTCCAAATGTTATTATAGTGACATTTGCACCACAATTGGAGCATTTTCAATGTTGTGCCTCTAATTTTTTTTTTCTGTTAAGTCTTATTTGATAACATTTTTAAATTATAAATAGTGTAGGCCAGCGTCCATCTGTCAACTGTTGCTTTTTTTGACAAATACTGTATGTGGAGTGTTATCATTATTATAAGGCTTCAAATACATCATAGCATATGGTACCATATGTGCACAACTAAGTACTCAAGCACATTCTTTGTTCACCTTGTAATAAAAGGAAAACTGAATAAAAACTCTTACCACCTTTACTATTTCACCCTATTGGGACTGTTTAGCTGAAAATAATACAACCATATGCTTTGTGCTTTATCCTTTTTCTTGTGGTAAGACCAAAAGATATTTAGTTTCAATTTTAAAAAAAGGTGGGCTTTCTCTGACCACAAAAAATTGTATTAGTATTAAATTTTATATTCATAGACCTAATATATATACAGTGCCTTGCAAAAGTATTCGGCCCCCTTGAACTTTGCGACCTTTTGCCACATTTCAGGCTTCAAACATAAAGATATAAAACTGTAATTTGTTGTGAAGAATCAACAACAAGTGGGACACAATCATGAAGTGGAACGAAATTTATTGGATATGTCAAACTTTTTTAACAAATAAAAAACTGAAAAATTGGGCGTGCAAAATTATTCAGCCCCCTTAAGTTAATACTTTGTAGCGCCACCTTTTGCTGCGATTACAGCTGTAAGTCACTTGGGGTATGTCTCTATCAGTTTTGCACATCGAGAGACTGAAATTTTTGCCCATGCCTCCTTGCAAAACAGCTCGAGCTCAGTGAGGTTGGATGGAGAGCATTTGTGAACAGCAGTTTTCAGTTCTTTCCACAGATTCTCGATTGGATTCAGGTCTGGACTTTGACTTGGCCATTCTAACACCTGGATATGTTTATTTGTGAACCATTCCATTGTAGATTTGGCTTTATGTTTTGGATCATTGTCTTGTTGGAAGACAAATCTCCGTCCCAGGATCAGGTCTTTGGCAGACTCCATCAGGTTTCCTTCCAGAATGGTCCTGTATTTGGCTCCATCCATCTTCCCATCAAGTTTAACCATCTTCCCTGTCCCTGCTGAAGAAAAGCAGGCCCAAACCAGGATGCTGCCACCACCATGTTTGACAGTGGGGATAGTGTGTTCAGGGTGATGAGCTGTGTTGCTTTTACGCCAAACATAACGTTTTGCATTGTTGCCAAAAAGTTCGATTTTGGTTTCATCTGACCAGAGCACCTTCTTCCACATGTTTGGTGTGTCTCCCAGGTGGCTTGTGGCAAACTTTAAACAACACTTTTTATGGATATCTTTAAGAAATGGCTTTCTTCTTGCCACTCTTCCATAAAGGCCAGATTTGTGCAGTATACGACTGATTGTTGTCCTATGGACAGAGTCTCCCACCTCAGCTGTAGATCTCTGCAGTTCATCCAGAGTGATCATGGGCCTCTTGGCTGCATCTCTGATCAGTCTTCTCCTTGTATGAGCTGAAAGTTTAGAGGGACGGCCAGGTCTTGGTAGATTTGCAGTGGTCTGATACTCCTTCCATTTCAATATTATCACTTGCACAGTGCTCCTTGGGATGTTTAAAGCTTGGGAAATCTTTTTGTATCCAAATCCGGCTTTAAACTTCTCCACAACAGTATCTCGGACCTGCCTGGTGTGTTCCTTGTTCTTCATGCTACAAAGTATTAACTTAAGGGGGCTGAATAATTTTGCACGCCCAATTTTTCAGTTTTTTATTTGTTAAAAAAGTTTGAAATATCCAATAAATTTCGTTCCACTTCATGATTGTGTCCCACTTGTTGTTGATTCTTCACAAAAAAATTACAGTTTTATATCTTTATGTTTGAAGCCTGAAATGTGGCAAAAGGTCGCAAAGTTCAAGGGGGCCGAATACTTTCGCAAGGCACTGTACCTCTATGTACTTCTATGATCAGGAGTGCTTCAGTCAGCCTGTGTGTACAAACACAGTAGCTGGCAGAGCTTTGTAAGAGTACTTGCTCTTTATGACAGACGTACATGAAATACTAAGATGACACCATTAAGTTTAAGATGTTTGATTTCTCGTCACTCGTGTTGTGCATCATCTCTTTATTCCCGCTGTATTGAGTTTTATCTTCTCTCTTTCCACTTCTCACCTTATTGTATTTTGCTCTCATCTTCAGTCATTTTTTCCTTACACTGTTACTGATGGAAATTGCTGCCTATTACCACAGAATGACCCTTTACTGAATGACCTTGCTGCTACTGCTTTTATCAAACCGCTCCTCTTTTTGGCCTGTTAGTGTCAATACATCCAATTTTTTCTTCAGTCTGACTCCTTTCACTTACAAACAGCCTGAGTAAACTCAGTGCTGTAATGAGTGATGTGATACACACTGGCAGAAATCCCCTCACTTACTCAAACCTTGTTAAATGATTCTGGGTAAGTGCTCAGATTCAGAGCTGCGTGGAGGCACTAGAACGGAAGGATGAAGTGATTAATACGGTATGGCGTTGGCGTTAACTGCAATCAGTGTGTAATAATTGGCTGTTTAATGTGTAGGGAGCCTTTCTACTCTTAGGCCACGCTGGGGAGAAGGGTTCTGCTAAGGGTGTAACTCTGTGTATTGTCAGGGACTGTAATGCTTGTGTAACTGTCACAGAAATCAATTTACACTTATTGCCTTGTACGGGGGGAGTTTGAATGGAGAAAGGTTATGATCAGGGTGTAATTAGGGTCAAACACAAGCTGAAATCAATGTTCTGTGACTATGCTATTTTAAATATTGTTAGTGAGCAGTTTGCTCTTAACAACTAGACTTCTTCTCAGCCAACAACTTGACAAGCCTCTGTTAGACAGAGATTCCACTACACTGGTATTAAGCTGGCCCTTCTTTATTGCGGCTTTGTCTATTGCCACAGAAGTTTTAAAAAGCTGGCATAATGCCACACTTGTGTTCTTTTTACACAGGAATGCATCTCGCTATTAGAGACGTGACATTTAACCACAGGTCAGAAATACAAAGCATACCGGTAACGTTGTTGCTTTGAGATCAACAGTGGTGGATGAACAGTGGTGCTGCCAGCCACTTGCTCTGTGTCCATTCTGGTTCACTAGAATTAAGAATAATTTTCCTTCTACAGTACTTTGTCAAACTTTAAAAATAGGAATTGAAAATGTGACTTACTAACAGCACTTGTATTTCAAGGCTTGTCAAAAATTATAGTAGTACAAATTGCTGCAAGTCATACAGAATAATTTCATGATGACTTATAAACACTAAACATCAAACCCCCCACAGAGACCAAAGACCATTCAGTGAGCCAAAGAAAACTTCTTTCAAGCTCAGAGTTTGGCACATAAACTTCTGTTACATGCAGTGCACCTCACTTTGTTTAATTCTCAGATGAGTTCTTTTTGAAAAGATGGTCTCTTTGACAACAGTGCTTTGTGAACAGTATGAAATCAAAATCAGAACACACAGCAATAAAGAAATCCATTTTGTTTTGTTCTGAATACACTGTTGTTTGCTTTGGGCTGAATGGCTCCTTGGAGTGAAGCAGCTATAATAGTTGGAGTAAAAGGTTTGATTCAGGAGGCTGAATGAAAAGGATATTGTGTAAGGAAACTGTGGTGGGCACATGCTGTACACACATGCACATGATGTGTTTCCATCACTTCAGTGGACATTACATTGACTTACATTCAACCCTAACCTTAAACCAAGTCATCGCTCTAAAAGTGAAATGTAATTACTTTTGTCCCCATAAGGATATCAAGTCCCCACAGCGTGACTGTGCACTGTAAACATATTTACATCCCCACAATGTGAGTAATACCAGGCCACACATATGCACACACAACATATGTTTGTTTTCATTTGTCAGGGGGACTTTACATTGAGTGACATTCATTTCCTGGGTATTCACCCTAATACCTAACCATTACCACTACCTGCCTAACTTTAACCCAATGTGTAAGTCAGTGAATTACAGTGACAACTTTGTTTAAAGTTACAGTAAGGTTCGAGTTAGGCCAATAGTTAATTTCAGTCTCCAGGAAATTAATATAAGTCAATGTAATGTCACCATGAGGAATGGAAATAAACATGTTTGTGTGTAATTGCATCATGCATGTGGTCATCTGTGTATTAGTCACTTGAGGTGACACTTGTTAAAGCCAGGCTGGGCATGAGACCAGGGCACAGAGCCCCGACTGAGCGCACAGCTTATAGGTTTAATGGCCACACACACACACACGACTGTCACAACAGGGATGACCTGAGTCTCTTCAGTGCAATGACTTTCATTCCATCACTCATTTCTCCTCTCTTCTGGCCTCTATCTCTGTCCTTTCCTCTTTACCTTCCTTTTTTGCTCTGTCCATTTTATTTTTTCACAATGCCTCCTCTCACACATACACAGAGCTACAGTGTCTGAGACAGGTAGTTGGGCATGAGTGATGTGGTAAAGTGTGACTTTTGCCAGCGGGGGACAGCAGCAAATGGGTCGGGAGAGCTTTATAAAACATATCCCAAATCCAGGCCAGTCAGGCATGCATTCACTGAAAGACACACACACTGGACAGGAGTCTCATCTCTGTGTGAGCTTCATTGGTGCTGACACACTCCTGTGTAGTGGTGAATAGGACTTGATGTCTGAGGCCCCAGCTTGCGATTCGCCCAGAGGGCAGCCACTCGTTAGAACAGAAAACGGAGGGCAAATGACAAGGAAGGGAGGGAAGGATAGGGACAGCGAAGAGCCTGAGAAAATGCACAAAGGAGACAAAGGAGGAGAGGACGCAGAGTTGATTCACTCCATCTTGCTGTGTAGACGATAAGAGGGGAGATTGGTAAGTCTCCCCTTAGGCAGACGCTCTCTGAAGATCACT